ATTACCCTAACCTACTAATCTTCGATTTTGAATCCCAACCCAAAATCTCAAATTGTAAACCCTAATGTTAACCCTAAATTCCTAAACCTTAAATCATTCAAATTAAAGTCAATCTTGAATGATTTTCTTACAAATTCATATGGTTCTTGTTCATCATACCACAAGTGATGATTGCCATCGTTTTCACATGAATCGCCTGCTTAAAATGACGATTATGAAGTGGGTGCCTTGAATGCACCACAAAAAAGTGAGTGCACCGAAGACATAACCATGATAGCTTATTTATATGATCCCTTCATAATAATATTATTATTATTATTATTATTATTATTATTATTATTTGTATGAAATTATGTGATGGATTAATTCGCCGGAAGTGTGACAAAAACTCAAGCGGTCAAGCCTCTCTTTGCACGGCTCCTCATTCTTGCTCTAATTTCTGAATGTGAACTGGTCAGTGTTCACGATCCATTACTGAAACAACTGCATAGCAATCCACTGCACGCGGTTTCTGTTATGCATTTTGCTTTTGCTTTACTACTTCCATCTCTGCAATATCTCATCAGTCATCAGCTACAACTGTAAAGTCAAAATCTAACGATAATTGGGAGGCAAGTAAAGACAAGACCGAGTTAAACCCATAAAAAGTCAGGAACTCGCCAGCCGCAAACCAAATCCCCTTCCAGAAAACCAGGTACTAGGAAAGAAAACACACACATTACTACTAATATTGCGTATGAGCAACCTCTGCAAAATCTTGCCTCATCATCACACCCATCTCCAAACTTCTCCTGGCCATTAGAATTTGTTTTGTACTTATGAAAATGCATGTAGTTGGGAATACCTAAACCTTGCAAATGAAGTAATCCTATGAATACGCTATACAAAGGTTGTGTTGGAGAACTTACCAAGTCATGTTTAAACGGGAGAAAAAAAGCTTATTAGAGGAGACATAATACATAATTGGTAAGTGATCTCATATCGACAAAATACAACAAAATACAAGAGAGATTTATGAGGCATTGGAAACAATTTCATGTTTTATAATTTATTCAACAAAAAAGAAACAATTGCACAATATGTATTTTGGGGTGAAATGAAAGAGTTTTTGTTATAACTTTGAAGTTAAATGTACTCATAGTAGAACAGTACAAAGACGAGCGATCTCTTAAAAAATCATCATATTGGAATGACAAAATACATCTGTATAGGCACAACTCTTTTTTTTTTTTTTTGCAAATAATAGTAACTTTTGGAGAAATTCACAAAATAGCAAATTATATCAAATTCTTTAATGGTGTCCTCCAGTGTTGTCATGTCGGCTTCCTGCCGGCTTGTACAACCAGTACCAATTACCAAATCGGCCGGCAAGGGGCCAATATATAGCATATGTAATATCTGGTCAGATCTAGGAATTCCGGCTGGTTAGACCAGAAATCGTAATTCAGTGAAATGAAATCACACATTATATCCAAAAATAAACACCTTTTATATGACTAGATTTGTCATACAACCATTCCAAATTCAGATTATTTTGTGTATTTCTTCAATAGTGGCTATTATTGTCACAAACTCGAAAGTTGTTGCCATGTTGGTGTATTTTGCCTATTGCAATCCCAAAAGAAAATGCTATACGAAACTCTATGTAAAACGGATTGGCCTGTAGAAGAAGATGTTACAATAAGATAATAACCTTTTTGTCTATTTATTTGGTAAGATAATAATTTTTTTTACTAGTACTCTACAATACCTGAACTATGAACAAAATGTCACTACTTACTAGTGTGTTATTCCATTCAATATTTCATTTCTGTTTTGAATTATATATTTTCTGTTAATGTTGACCGACATTGACCGTTAATATTTAACTGAAAGTTTAGTAAGTGTTGATACGACATCTGACATGATATTTAGAATTAATTTTTATTTAACAAAATAATAATTAAAAAAACAAATAATCTATCTAAAATCTTCTCATTCCTTCTTCCCCAGTTCTTCGCCAACATCTACGTGTGCCACATCACCATTGGTCAATGTCGGCAGTGATGGACCCAGGAATTTTACATAGGGATGTCATCTTTCAAAAAATAAAGTAAAATTAAATAATTAATAATTAATAAAATTATATTATTCTTAAATAAGAAAATATCCAACTCGCACAAGGTAAAAAAATTCAATGATGTATTTTCATATTAAAAAAAAAGTTATAAAATACACTTGGTGTCTACACTGCTCAACAAATTTGTCTCGGTATATCCTACTAAACAATCATTCACGAACTCATGCACATTTTACTTCCAAATTTGTTCATGATGTAACTCAAAGCTAAAAAAACACTTTCAACACTTGTCGAACAACCATAAAATCAATACAAATTAATGGCATCTTGTAATTAGATTAATTGTTAGGTTTTGAAAATAATTAAAGATAGAGAATAAGATTTTGCTATTACACAGTGTTTAGAATATAACAATAAAAAATTTGTAGCCTAATGAAAATTATATTTATTAGTAATAGTAGTGTCCGAGGTTTGAATTTCCCAAGCTACCACTTATATTCCCATACGCAAACTACAAACGAGAGTAGTATAATCGTTCTTTCAAATTTCAAGGTGTCCCGAACTATTATTTATATTTTTTTTTTGTTTATACGTAAATTACCACCAGGGGTTGGATAATCGATCTTCCAAAATTTAGGGGTGTCCTGGGACACCCCTAAATGTCCCTGGGTCTGCCCCTGAATGTCGCTAAGAGAACATGTCTGGTCATTCGTAATTTATAGCGATCAACAAAAGCATGAGTACGTAAATGACACAAAACTAACATATGATATGGCATAAATGAAATATTGAAAAGAATAAAATGCAAGTGATATTTTATAATAGTTCGAATATTATAGTAGTATTAGCCCTTCAAATTTCTAAGGACATAATTTTCATCAAAAACATTAATATTTGTACGAAATTCGTAGCTTCATTTGAACCTTGACACGAGCAAAAGTGTTGCCTTGTTCTTAGAGCACACTTCTCTAATCAAAAGGGTTCTAGCTTAGCTTCTATTAGATTCTTTACAAATCCCACAAGCCTTTCTCTCCACCAGGCTTTTACACGTTGGCTCTACATAATCCTACGTGTACCAAACATGCCACATCCTTAATTTTTGTTGTTGCCTTGTCCCAAAAGCCATAACCAATTTCGTTTGGAGCCTCCCCATAACTGCCAACTGTCACCTTCAACTCTCTCTCTCTCTCTCTCTCTCCACCGACTTCCTTCCAAACACCGCCATTTCCCTCTCCTCCCCCCTTATATAAAACCTCCTCACTTCATCAATTCAGAAAGAGAAAAAGAAAAAAAAAACACTCTGAATCCAGAGAATCACCACGTCAAATTCTGCAGCCAACATCACTCATGTTCGCCTTTCATCACATAAACAAAAATGGCGAAGCTTTCATGGTCCAAGTTGCGATCTTTCCTCCTTCCCCGAGGTGGGTTTTCCACACTTTCCTCTGTTTTCACGATCCTCTGTAGTTTTTCCTTTTCTTAATGGGTCTTTCCTCTCTTTGTTTTGCTTCAGGGGTTTCGAAGAGTGAGGGTTCATCCGGTAGCTTGGGGAGCAAGCTAAATGTGAGCGAGGAGTACAAGGAAGCATTCCGCACGGAGTCTTATGTACAAATGTGGACGGAACTCCAAACCAAGCTAATCGACCGCCGCCACTCGTCCTCGTCATCTTCCTCTTCCACATCATCCTCATCGTCCACCATACCTCCGGGATACCTACTCCGGCCCCAGCCGGAGCAGGAAACCATCACCCAGTTAGTAGAAAGGTTTGACTGTCACAGGCTTCTGATCGACTACTTCGAGTCGAGCTCAGAAGCCTGTGATCTCTGCGAGTTGCTCCTCCTGTCGGTGCAAAGAACTCGCTTGCATTATGCCAATATCACGAGGGTGATCAAGACGAGCCAGGGGGTAGAAGGTTTTACCTGCAAGGTCTCTGCAAGGATGTACAGAGACCTTGCTTCGTACGCAAGGCACGCGAACCCTTTGAGTCTCGTCAGACCGGTCCAGTTTCAAGAGGTTCATAATGGGAACACGTTGCTCCTGCGAGAGCTGACTCGAAAGAAGAAGAGTATTCGGAGGAGGGCCAAGGCGAATCGGATCTTGAGGAAGGTTGGTGGATGTGGGCTAGTGGTCCTCCACATGACACTAGTGGTTTCCATGCTTGTGATTGCCTTACATAGCTTTGTGGGGATTGTGGCGGCACCAGCTATTGTAGGTTGTTCATCCTCTTGCTTGTTGGCCAAGAAAGGAAAGAGGAGAGCATCGTTGGTTATTCATGGGCGGCTCAATGTGAGCCTGATGGAGAGAGTGTGCAGGCAGTTGGATCTAGCAGCAAAGGGGACGTTCATCCTCATCAACGATTTCGACACAATGAGCAGGCTAGCAACGAGCCTGAACAACGAGGCGGAGCACAGCAAAGTGCTCTCCGCGATGTGTGTGAGGAACAACAAGAACGAGGAGCTGTTGAGGCTGGTGGTAAGGGAGCTCTGCGACCACGATGCTTGCTACCTTGAACAGCTAGAAGAGCTCGAGGAACATGTGTATTTGTGCTTTCATACGATTAATCGGTCGAGGAGGTTCGTAATGCAAGAGATGATGATTGGGGAGGAAGAGTTCGGGTTTGAGGGCAAAGAGGAAAAGGTGAAGGATTATGATGGTGATAGTAAAGATTGATTAGCTAAATAGAGTTCCAGATGGGCAATTGAAAGCCGCCATTGAATTTGTTTCTAGGTAATATGCAATCAATTCTTAACTAGTTTGAGATTCTTTCGTGATTTCAATGTACAATTTAAAATGTAGCCAAGATGATACCTTATTGTTTATGCTGTTTAAATATAGAGATCCTCCTCAGTTTCCAAAAGGAACTGACAAGTCAATTTCAGTACTAGGTAATAATCTTAACTTGCTGATCACACTCAGAAAGGCAGTTTTTTTTAAACCAAACCATACCTCATTTCATTTCAACTTCTCAAGAAATCCGCAAAACTCAATCCCTAACATAAATTTCAATTTGCTACAGGCTAACACAACAGCAATGTGGTGAGCTTCCTTCTTGCTACTTGGAAGCCACTTGACCCCGAAAAGCAAGTGGTGAAACAGCATTTGAGTCTGCACATTTTCCAGGGTCCAAACCCTGTAGAACAAACCTGAGCTGCAATAACAGCAGCAAGCTGAACCCAAATGCGAGTGGTTTGACTTTGATATTTCATCGAATCTGGAGAGATTCCATCAATCAGTTCAGCACCCTTTTTCTCTCAGCTTTGCATACTCTTCGCGACTCAACAACGAAGCCTAGACCTTTAACCAGTCTGCTGGCCTTGGCATGATGATGGCAACATATCCCTCTCTATCCGCCTGCAAAATTCAAGCACCGAAACCAACTTGAAATTGAAGCAAACAAGTTGTGGGCAGATTTGCAGACAAAGTCAGCAGATCTCAAACAATAAGGCTACATCACTTGGATGAGTTTCGGTGATGAACAGATAATCGCGATTTCTCACCGAGGTATTGACCAAACCAGGCTGCTTGATGAGCCTCTCATTCACGTCCAACCATGAACCTTTCACACAACACCTGATCATAATAAGCATTACCCAACATAGAACTTAAAATCTTCCATAATTTTGATGAAACAAAACCAGTTCTAACATCACAATGTAGGAATCCCCTTTTGTGCTAACTTTACACATTGCTGTATTGGACTCAAAATGCTGGGCATTCGGCCAAAAAGAAAACAACTTTCAATTAACTCACTCCAGAAAGAGCTCTATACAGAATGAAGTATCATTCCTTCTACTCAAAGAGTTAAAGTTGTAACCTCTTTGCGTTTCCCAGTGACCTTCATACCGCTACGATCCGACTTGCGTTGAAATCGACGGCGGTGATCCCTCCTTCGTCCTTAAACACCAAATGGCCAGGAGCCAAACCAATCACACACAGCCTGTAAAATTTCACAGAGCTCAAAACCAAAAATCAAACAAACAAAAACCCATTACTGTATACATTGAGAGAAATCATGGGTTACCCATTGGCATGTCTGTAAACGTACTGGTCGTGCCCTGGCTTCACAAAATCTGTGGACAAACCCCCAAATGAAAAATTAGATAATTACAAGAGAAAGGAGGGAAAACTTGATCAATTTGGACAAACCTGGAGCGAAATAGGAGGCGAAGTTGGTTTCGACGGCGGAAGGAGGACTGGCGGCGAGGATTTCCCGGGTCGGGAACCAGCAGCTTCCGCATCTCTTCGTCGTCTTCAACGGGAAGAATAAATTCTGGCTTCCCCTGTTTTTCTGGGTCGTTGGATTCGTGGACTGTGTAGTCCGCCATCGAATCCAACGCGTGAAAGGAAATTGAGGAAGGCGAGTTTTTGTTTTTGCCGGAAGTCGAAGTCAATGACTATGAGTTTTGGGTTCCCATTAAGGAGTTACTTCTCCGACGCGTGACGACTGCGCAGTCCGGATCGTTTCTCCTTTTTCTGCAAATTTGGTGCCCCGGCCCGGCCTTTAGAAAATGGATTGGGCTGCCGGGAATGAGCTTGGGCTGGATTTAGCTAAAAGGCCCCAAATTGAATTTTGTCAAACTAGATCTAGGCCCAGTCTGGATTGGACTGCCCACTAGCTCGACGATTCTGGAGAATCATTGGGTTGAACTCAAACATTGCGCATTGTGAGAAAACATCTTTTGCAACCTCCACTAATGGCTTTGCAGGGTATGTTCTTCGTACCGCTTTGAGAGTAGTGGTGGCAGCTTTGGAAGCTTTGGCACTCCGAGATTGTCTTTTGGCTTGTAAGGATCGACGGTGGACACATGTGGTCGTGACTGGTGATGCTCAAGTCATAATTGACAAATGTTCTAAGCGTCAGATTTGGGATTCTACTACTGGTGCAATTCTTCGGGAGATTGCTCTGCACTTGGATGAATCGGTTGGGATGGTGTTGCGGTTTGTTGGTCGTCAAGGTAACAGAGAGGCTCATTTGGTGGCTCGAAAAACTCTGTTTTTGTCACCTCGGTTGATTCACAGGTTCGACTATGTTTCATGGCTCCATAGTTTATAGAGCATTTGTATTTTGGAACATAATCTTCTTTTCTCTTTGATCAAGAGATCTAATGACAAAAAAGAAAGATCTAGGATCAATAATCTTGTGTTTTGTTATTTGGCTAAAAAATCTTGTGTTTTGTTGTCTTGTCAACGTGTATCTCTTAGACGAATAAAGTCACGAAGGTCTTAAGTCGATCAGTCATAATCTTAGCCTATTAGGGTTAGGAAATTCGAGCTGGTCCGAGATTGAATTCGTATATTAAGAAGCAAACGAACGTGATATAATTAAAATGCAATTCTATTAATTAATATTCCTAGCATATCATTAAATCTTAATCATTGTAGTCACAAGTCATCCCAAATTAGTTATAGCTAGCACTCCTAACCCATGCATATCTTCTTCTTTTTTTTAACTAATCGTGCATTAGAAGTTATAATAAACCAACAACATATACGATCATGATTCATGGCATCAAACTTGCAATCACAATCCAAGTAATTATTATTAGAATAACAATAAATCACATTGACAAACAAATGGACAACTTTCTCTTGGCGCCCAATTTAGCGGCCCAAATTTTACATTTGACTCCATCGATCAACAGTGCAAGACAACACCAATGTAATTACTCAAACCGGTCCACAAGATGAACCAAAATTTCCCAACCAACCTTAATTAAACCCATAAAAAATCCAACCCAATTGGAGAAGAAAAAATAATCTACCTCACAACCTTACAATCAAGCCTAACCTCCTGCCCACCCGTAAGACTGCTCATCTTAACCATGGAAGCAGCAAACGCCTTCCCGAATTCAGCCTCAGACGCCGCGAATTTCTGCACCAAGGCCTTGGCCTTAGGGTTGGTGAGCAAAGCCTGGTCCGACGAGAAGATGCTTTTTCCTCCAAGCAACATCTTGTAGTAGACATTGTCGAACCCGAACGTGGTCGAGTCCATGGTCGAACCGGCGTTCTTGGCCTTGTTCTGCAAGGGGCAGATCCTCCTCAAGTTGGCCGCGAACGACGGGCTCAGGGTCGAGTCCACGTCGACGGTGGCGCTGAAGTTGTGGATCCTGTTCTGGAAGGACGAGCAGTGGGCGAACCCGAGAGTGTGCCCTCCCGAGAGGGCGACGAGGTCCTCCAGGGAGAGGCCTCTCTGGGAGAAGCTCTGCTGGAGCTGCGATATGTTGAAGACCGGAGCTGGGAGCTGTCGGGTCTCGCTGGCCTTGGAGATTCGCCCGTCCTTTCGGCCCTTGGGAACAGCCCAGTTTGGTCCACCGGACTGCAGGAATAGGTGTAAAATTGCGTTAGATAAAAAAATAGTATCAGAGCCTGGTTTCGATCCAGGGACCTGTGGGTTATGGGCCCACCACGCTTCCGCTGCGCCACTCTGATGATACGAGAGTAACTTTCAAATACAACCCAAGTAATTATGTCCTTTTGGGAGATACTTACCAAGGCAACAGCATCTCTGGCGGCCAGAGCAAGAATATCAGCACATGAGACAACTCCCGGGCACATTTTTTCCACGGCTTCCTTTGCATGGTCAATTACATAGAATGCGTGGAGGGAAACATTTGGCGGCCCATCTTTCTCAGCTACGTTCTTTTTGGTTGACTTGAGCAGCACAGAGGCGTCACAACCCTTCAAATCACCCCCACAAAAAAATCAAACATCGTGTCAAATTATGTTTGATACAAAAAAAAAAAAAAAAAAAAAAGGTTAGTCCGACGATGGAAGAATGTCGTCTAATTTCGAACCTTAAGACTAACATCATCGATCAATATGGTAATATCGAACTAAGCCAAAGTGAAAAGAAAAAAAATGTTTTTTCGACGTACCCTAATGAAACAATCATGGAAGTGCATCCGGAGGATGGCAGCGGGGACGGTTCTGTCGTTCTTCATGGCTTTCTTGACGGCGTTGGTGACGGCGGACTCGAAATTAGGGCAAGTCTTGTCGTAGTAGTTCAGGCTAAGTGAACTAACAGAGGAAGAAAGGATGGTGAAGATCATAAGGAAGGCTAGAAGAACAGAACCGGCCATGGCTGCCATGTCTTTTGTTTTCTGTTGTTGTTGTTGTTTCTACTTCTTTGGTTGTTGCTTTCAATTGTAGGATGGAGGAGTCAGAACAGAGATGGAGATGCTACTTATACATGGAAGAGTTGACGGATTTCAGAAAACAAATGGCCATGCAGCAGAGAGAGTTGTTGGTTGGGGATTAGAGTGGTTAGCATATTTGGTGATCCGAAAGTACTATATGGTGGAGAGGTAGTGGAAACACAAAGGGGTTTTGTTATTAGTTGTTGATGGGAGCTTTCATATTGAGTTGATATCACATGGAGATTTGGAATAATTTGATGTAAGGGGTGAAGGATAGGAAGTAGTTATTTGGTTAGGATGTTAACAACCTCGTTTAGGATGTAGCAATTGTTCTTTTACAAAAATTCCATATCTCCAATTTTTCAAGGTCCACATTTCAAGTCTTTGTATCATTGAAATTGGTAATTTCTTTTGTGGTTTTCACTTGAAAATTAAGAAATATGTGATACTACGAGCACTTGGATCGGTAAAATATAAACAAGATAGGTTTGACGTCGTTCAATTTCAATAACATCGTCATTAGTTGCTCTGTTTATATAGCAAGAGGATGGGGGTGATGTGTGAGAGAGAAGGGGATAATTAAGTAGCAAATGTGACACATGGGCTCATCTCCTACTACAATTCTACATACAACTTAGCCATGTTTTAATGAGATTAGATAAATATGAAGGATTATTGTTAATGACTCGCGATATAATATTTATTTCGAAAGAGAAGGAGAACCGTTAATAATATATTTTTACCGAAATACAAATAGGAAATTACTAGGAACAAAACCACCTATTCTGTTAAACTTTAAACTTCAAATTCCTTAACTCCACCTAAAATTCTAACTGAAATTTTACTTAAAGCTTCCACTCGATTGGACCAACCGTACATATAAAAACAAACCACCTATAAGTAACAAACCACCTAACGAGTGAACAAACCAACAAACAACCATGTCAACAACCTATATCGGTTTGGCCTTGTCAAAATCAAAGTGGTTATAACTATAAGTACTCCAAATTCGACGACAAGGGTCTGTTATTTGACACAGACATGCAGTAAGTGAAGAAAAGAAAACTAGAAAAGGATTTGTGATGAAGTAAGTAAAATATAATGCATGGGAATGAGCAGCAGAAGTAGAGATGTTGTCATCCCTAAGGGTAGTGGTTGACCTGCAACTCCAAAAGCTTCATATTCAAGCAAGAGACTGTCCCTTCCAATGTGGGGCACATCGATTAGGTCATTTGGAAGAAGGTGTCCGAACGGAATTTGCGTGTTGAGTGGGATGGAAATGGTCAAATGGATCGTGGGTTACGTTGGGATGGTTCTATTTAAATGGCCATTAATGATGGTGATTTGCTAGAGCGGGGTGGGTGTATGTTGACCTTAATTGGTGTACGTCCATATAATAATAATCGAAAAGTTTGCATCTCATGCATTGCATATTGTGTATTAATGACTTTGTTTTCATGAAAAATCTTTTAATGTGTTATTATGTTGTATTTTATGATGGTTAAATTGTGAGTGATGGTTAATGAATTGATGTAGATTGAGGTAAGTTTATGATATGAGTAAAGTCAATGCATGACTTGAATTAATTGCTGATTATTAGGAGTATTATAACTAGGGGTCGTTTGGAAGTTGCGAATGTTAAATCGTTGCATAGTAATGAATCACCATAATATAAATGCATGTATTGATACAATGGATGCATTTTAACAATACATTGTTTGGTTGTTGAGATTCTATTTTATGCATTGATTTGCATAAAATTACTTTTATGGGGAAATGCCACATTTACCCTCAACTTTTAGAATAAGACAAAAACTTTTAGGGATATAAATGGAAAGAAAAAGTTGACACAAATCTAAAACCAACAATCACAACAATCTCAACTTTTAGTTGAGATTGTATAATGCATCATTTTTTGTGATTGTTGGTGGGACCTACCTAAAACAATACATGCATTGTTTTACACTTTGACACTTCCAAACATTGTATTGTGCATAATACATGTATTCAACAAACACAACTCTAACAATCACAACTTCCAAACGACCCCTAGATTTATAATAATGAGGAATTAGATTGAGGTGGAGCTTACTTGATGGATGACATTTGATGACTTATAATTTTAAGTGAATTGGACTACATGCTTAAATTATTTGTGTGTGCATCATGTAGTCTTCACTTTGTAGGTAGGATCAACCACACATTCAGTTCAGTTGACCCGCGTGTTTACAGTTTTGACAGATGTGAGAAATCGTAAATGAACCTTGAATTGTATATCTATCGATGGAAGATTTGATTTGAAGTTTTTTTTTTTTTTTTTGTAAGACTGATACATGTTCGCATGTAATGTTAGATGTTGTTTAATGGATTTGAACTTCGGAGACTCCAGATTAAGGGTTTGTTCTAGTGATTTGAAGGTTTTTACCAATCTTTATATTCCCAAAATTTACCTTCAAGATGATTGGTTTTCCTCTAGCATGCATTGTAGATGGTTTGATTGAGTAGGACTCTTGGATTGAGTTTGAATTGACTAAATGAAGCCAATAGTATGGATTTTGTAAATTCGGGATCAGATGAAGGTCGATTACTAAATTGAGAAGGTGATTAGTAGTAAAATCTAGAACGATTTGATAAGTGATATATATCTAGTTGAGTTTTCAAACCTATCTTAAACTTGTGGTTGGGAGTTGAGTCAAATTTTTTAATATATAACCCTCGAGTGAGTCCGCTGCATGAATGAACCTTTGGTTCGACAATGAGTTTTACGTTGGGGGTGTTACATCAACTCGTAAGTTGGCTCTTTTTGAGCTCATGAATTGGCTCGATAGTGTGGCTAGCGAACAAGCACGATTAGTGTCTTATGAATGTATATGTCTATAGTATGAATTGCCATGTTGATATTTCATAGATTTGTTACATTATATATCTCATCATATATAATGTTTAAGACTTATAACTTCGAGTACTAGAGCAAATATGCCTCACTTATAATTTAGAAGAGAAATTATGTATAATAAATTTATTAGATTCTAGTTTTTATCAGATAGCAAGATATAAGCCGAAGGTAACACAACCGAGTTGGTCGGGAGTGTGGTCTTTCGGGCCAGAGATGTGTAAGGTCTCAAGTTCGAACCCCACTACACCACTTGGTGTTCCCGGAGGCACCGCGAGTGTTGGAGACTTTGTCTCCCCCCAGTATCTGGTGCTAGGCCTTGAAAATGTTACTGATGTAGGTACTCCCCATGTTGAGTAGACCCCGCTGCCATGAAGTGGCCTGTGGGGTTGAGGTTTCGAGGTAATAAAAAATATATAACAAGATATAAACTTGTTAAATTTATGAACTAAATAATTTGATACAAATATAGAATATAAACATTAGATCAATCAATAATGAAATATTAATTATTATTCTTTTCTCGTTGTCTAATTAATACATGTATTATATATGACATACAAATATTAGAGTATTTGATTATAACTTAGTGTAGAATTTAGTTTAGGGGTTCGACTATGTACATTAATAAATAAGCTTCAGCCAAACTTGTAAGCTAATTAATTAGACAAATTTGAAGGGGGAAACTCAGTGAAACAGAAGTCAAAGATTCAGTAGACGCAATTTCAGAAGGAAAGCAACTATTCGGAAGGTTGTCGTCCCATTTCTCCTCTTTTATGCTAATCAGTTCACCAACTGTAGAATCCACAGGCATCCCCCTTGGTTCCGAGCTAACAAATCGAACCTCTCCAAATGGAAGCCAATTGTTCCCCCAAATCCTGACACTCGTCTCATTTCCAATATGCCATCTTACTCCACTAATCAAGAACTCTTGAGCACTCAACAAGCTTCACCAAATAAAGTTGGGATTGTGGCCGACTCGTGCATCAAGAATGGAAAAATTCTTATGGTATTTCGCACGTAAGATGCTCGCAATCAACGAATCGTCCCTCTGATACAACCGCCACAGCGACTTAGCTAGCAAGCAGGTGTTGAAACTTGAAACCTTCCAGCTCGCGAAAGCCCAATTCTCCCTCTTCTTTTGCGACGACCGTGACTTCCTTACTCACCTAGTGTACCCTTCGCTCCTCCCCTCTCTGTCCCTAGTAGAAATTAAGGATCATACTGTGAACTTGACTAAGGTTCGTTATTGGAACTTTAAAAACCGACATGGCATAGGTAAACTGAGATTGTGCTACCAATTTTATGAGTGTCTCCCTTCCCACTACCGAAAGCACTTTTTCTTTCCACCCTTTGAGCTTCTTCCTCGCTCGTTCTTTGAGGTTCTGGAAAATCTCCTTCTTCGATCGTCACAACATAGTAGGGAGACCTAAATATTTGTCATGTGTATCTACTATCTCCATCTCCAACGTGCCACTCACCATCAGCTTCATGTGCGGGGAAACATTGCCACTAAATGACACTGCAGACTTATGAAAGTTTATCTGCTGGCCTGATTCCTTCTCATAGGCCTTGAGGATCTCTTTGAGCTTGGAGCTCTCATGCACATTCACCCTGCCAAAAAACACAACATCGTAAGCGAAAAAAGGCGTGACACCGTTGGGGCCCTGACCGCTGGCTGTATGCCATGAAAAAGATTTTCTTCAAGCGCTTTCTTCGTGTAGGCTGATAGTCCCTCGACACATAATAAAAACAGGTATGGCGACAGAGGATATCCTTGCCGCAAATTTCGCTCTGGCTTGAAGCTTGGTGAATAGTGTCCATTGACCATAATGGAGGATGTCCGCAAGATAACACCTCGTACCAGGGTGGTATTGTGTGGTATTTTTTGGTCCTGTAATTTGTTCATCCACAAATTTGTAGATCCAATAGATCATGATAAACTCGTTCCTTCTGTGCAAATGTTTCCAAAAACGAATTAAAAACAAAGAAGATACCATATGGTATGCAGTTGGTACCGAGCGACAAGAAATTTTTTTTTTCTAAAAAAATATTGAAAATGGATCTCATTTTATAGAGAACAACGAACTCGTTCCATCTGTGCAAAAAAAAAAT